ACACTTAATCCCTGATATCGAACAAAAATCTTCAACTGAAAATCTCACAAATTTCTCAAAGATGTTGAACCACATTTTCATTTGAATTGGGCTGCTTAACTTGTATAAGGAGCAATCGGTGTATCAATTTTGGTTGCAATACTATTTCCTTCAAATCAATGAAGGCACCACGATATGTATTCTTAAATAAAGTCCTCTGATATGGACTAAAATTTTCATTTGTCTGTTATCACCTCGTGCGGAGATAATAATGTAACTTTTCCTTTGAACCAACATGCTTGAAGGATAAATAATCCCCAGCTATAGACTGATCAGAAGAATAAGGTAAAGGTATTCTCGGTGAGCTGTTAGCATAGTTCGTTGAACGCTCGCACTGAAAATGTTACATAGCTAATTTAATAAAAAGATGATAGATTTATCTTTTCTCATTTTTGGGTTCCCAATCCTACAAAAAGAAAAAAAGATACAGTTAAAATGAAATTCAACAACAATTACATGCATTAAGAAAATCTATAACATACACATTTGTAACATGTTATAATGACTAAATATATGGTTGTAATATACAACAATTGAAAGTGTGGATACACTCAAAAATTTGACAATAAATAAATAATAGTGACAAAGTTTAGAAAAGTGACAAAAACTAAAAAAAAAAAAAGTGATATAAAACCCCAAAAAAAAAGGGTGACACAAGAGGTTGTAGTAAACTGGTTTAACAATATTCACCATAACAAATACAAGAATTGAGACTTTACTTACATTTCACCACAAAAGATTAAAGAATTCAACAATCAAAAAATGGAATATGCTTAAAAAAGAACATAAACTAAACAAATAACAGGTGAGAATTGAACCAATATTCTTTTTATCACTAAACTAAGGCCTAAGCATAAGAGTCAACTCATATTTGATATCTATAACAATCCCTCATAACATAACATGTGAAGTCTATCAAACTACAAAAAGCAAAAACTAAACATAATGGGTGCTCAAGCACTATTCCCAACTCATTTTGACTTCCCTGCTACATTAGGTGTAGGATAAATTTTTGAAGGTAGAAACTCATAAATAACTAGTATTTAGCCTTAGTTAACACGCAAACATTTTGACATTTTAGTCCCTAAAATGTAGCTAACATTATAATTCCGTAAGCTATCATTACTAATTTGTTGCTTAACAACCTCTTTCACTAGAAACAAGACGTATCGGTAATGCAAGTCCAAGAGCTTTAATCACTTGCACATCAAGTTCAAATAATAACAGCAAAATTTGATCTTTATTTCATCAATCTAAAGTTAATTTTGACACTACCATTTGTTTCTCATTTTTTGAAGAATGAGAATGAAAAATATAGCTGTTACGAGCCCCACACAAGAGATAGAAATTCAAATTTGATAGCTTGATGTGATGGATAACAGTCATATTTTTCATTTTAATAAGAAAAAAATTCATTATAACCATAGTTGTCTTCTTTCCAATTTTCCACAAGCTTCTACCACTACGAGAATGACACCAATCAATCTTAAGATATATTTAATAAATACAAATGAACTTGCAATAGAGCAGTCAACATGATATGATATAACACAAGTTGGAGATGCGCAATAGGTAGCTTTGCATCCTAATTCCACAACATGATGCCGAATGCATACACTGCTTCAATAACTCGTCAAAATTTAAAACATAACATTCACATTCGTCGGTGGGGGATATTTTTTCTTGATTTACATGGGCTCTTTTCTTGATAATAATGTAGAATACCTTGGGTTTATAAGTTGTTGAAGAAATTCTCTTCTTTTTCTTTGAAGATGGTTCACCATTAACATTTCCTTTCCTCCTCAAATCACTTTCTCTAACCATTGTAGAAATAAGAGTTAGATTTCGAAGTGAAGAAGTTAAAATCGAAACAACTAGGGTTTCTGCTACTCGTGATTTGGGGGATTTTTAGTGAAATCCAAGAATAGAAGAAAGAGAAGACGGAGAAACGACAGGCACGAGATGATATCGACTAATCAAATAAAACCAGATTAGGGCTTCTGCTATTGCGATTTGAAGTTGTTTGTAGCTGGTTCCCATGAATAGGAGAATGAGGAGACAATGGAAAGAGATGAAAGCAACAGAAATGGATGGAGTAGATGGAGGCAAAAGCGGAAAAAAATGGACACAAAAAAATCATGACGAGAGGAGAGCGTTTTTACGTTGAGTGGGTTTGTACTGAATAAAGATTGGGTTTTAGGTTTATAACGTATTAGCTACGAGTTGAATGGTTTAATTAGTTTTAGGGAAAATTTCATAACTAAAAGGTTAAGTATCACATATTTCAAAACTAAAAACAAAAGTTTCAAATTTTAAAAATCAAATATTTATTAAATTTTATTTATGATTTAATTAATTAACTATATATTTTATTAATTAAATATATAAAGGTTACAGATTTATATAATTTGGTCATTGATTAACAATTTAGTTAGTCACATAAATCAGAATTTATATATATTCAAATTATTTTACGGTCATAATTCAAAATTTTTATAGATCACAATTTGTTCATTGATCACAAATAAAAAATTTATAAGTTACAATTTATTTATCGATCATAAATTGTAAATATTATAAGTTACAACTTATTATACAGTCACAAATTAACAATTTTTTAGATCATGTATTATTTATTGGTCACAATTTAACTTTCATTAGTCACATATTGTTTGATGGTCATATATTAACTAATTTAATGGTTATAGTCAATCAAATAATTTGTGACCAATATCTCATCACTGTCTCTAGTAACACCAGAACCACCATCATCGTCACCAGAACCAGTACCACCACCTCCTGACAGTAGCAACACCACCTCAAACAAAACAACCCATCGTAGAAAACACCACCATATTGTCGCGCCAAATCCACCACTATACTGCCATCACCATCGCATACAATACCACACCACGTACTGCATCCACCCAACCATCGCACCTGCACTTCCACAAATGCACCCACAACACACCACCGTCGTACTTACTAGAGCCCTCCATTCTTACCATCGCATCGCACTGCACACATCCACCTCCACTTCCTCCGCACCATAGCACCACCACCGCATATAGCACCATACCACTCACCCTATCGTATCCACAGCACCACCAACAACCCCTATCTCTACCACACCCATAGCTCCTCCATCGCACCTACAACACCACCATCGCATCGCACATCCACCACTGCACCACCAACAGCCCCCATGTCCACCGCACCACTACCATAGTGCACATCCACCACCGCACCACCAACAGCCCAAACACAACCCTCACCAAAAAAGTCTTCAAATCTACCATCGGCACTATCAACAATCATCAACCACCACAACAATCAACACAAGAAAATAGATGAAATATAACACCTCGTCGCACAGCCTCACCTCAACACATAGACCTGAAAGCGCATCATGTCAAGCAGAGGAAATGTCCGTGGTTATGCTTGCTGGAAGAAAGAGAAAATAGTGGCGAGGTGGTGTTCTGTGCATCCCGTCAATCAGTGTTGCACGATAAAGATAAAGACATGAGATCGAATATGGTGCTGTAAAGAGAGAGACAAGAGATCGCGAAAGTGAGTCAAAGAGAGAGATTGGAAGACGATAGTGGATGAAATATAGAATTGGAAAGGTGAGATATAAAGAGAGAAAGGAAAGGAAAGGGAAGGGATGAATGATGATAAATTTAGGATTTGGTAAGATGAATTTGTATATTTAATTTTGTAATATAATTATTAATATTTAAAATATATTAATTAATTAACAAAATATCTAATTTTTGAAATAGTAAATCTAACCATGGGCTGACCTACGTGGGGTCAATGACCCCACAATTTTTTCTCTAAATTTGTTGTTGTTTTCTCCAAACTTACTTTGATGCATTCATTATGGAATGTCAAAAAGAAGTCAAAATATTGTATTATTAATACCACTTAGCTCACAGCTTAGTTTTTTGCTCATTAATAATGCATGAAATAGTCAACCACAACAAAGTTTTAGCACATCAAAGTAGACAATTCCAAACTAATATTTTGAGAATTTCGATAACTTTGAAAATTGCCAATGATCATGCTCCAGTCGAATTCACAAATCGCTTCTGTCACTTAGAAACTCATTTCGAGAACTACATCATAGTCATATCGAATGGTCCAAATGTATATTGAAAATAGTTAAACGTGGCCAAACATACGTTTCTAAAAAAGACATCTAACTCGTCTTTTCTTTAAAAAATTTTAATTATTTCATTAACCTTTATTATTTTTGCACAATAAATTTCTTAATATAATTTATATCGTTTTATTAGCAAATTTTACATGGATAAATGATGTAGAAAAAAATTGGATCATTAAATCAAATGTAATTTATATTATTTTCGAATTAAATTTGAATTTCATTTACATCTTAGATTGAATTTGAATTTTATTTCAATTTATTTACTTTCTACATTCAACTTGGTATACCCATTGTGGGCTCAACATTTGTCAATGAGATGATAAACAAAATTATACAAGTAGTAAAATTCATTTGATAATATTGATAATGATATAATTATACGAAATTTTCAAAGTATCAAGATGCGTAGACTATAATTGTAGTAGTATATTTGGCTTATTTTTATTAATATTATGTCATTACAAAAAATATATTTTAATTTTTGATCCCATAATATAAAATGTCTTAGTACGCCCCTGAATCTAACCTATCATTTTTTAAATAGGATCTTTATATATATTAATTGCTGTAATTTTCACTTTTGTTTTGAAGGGGTAATATTCAATTTAGCCCGTGTTTGATCCCCTTTTTTCAAAAATTTATTTTTTTAAAATTTATTTTTAATTACATATTTTCCAATAAAATAATTCTACATAAAAATCGATTTTTTTTTTACTTTTTAATTATACATTTTCCAAAACTTCACTGTTTAAAAATACACTCTCTCTGTCAAATTGGGGCTAACGGGGGCTTAGTTACTTTAACAGTCACTGGGCCTAATTTTCCCATAAAAATATCAGAAGTCTGCGAGTTAAACAACCGAGTCGAAGCAAGGAATCCGATTTCCGGCGGAAAAATGTTTCTAAGGAGGGTGGCGCGGCCGCTAATGATGATGGCGAAAGTGAAGGAGACCACGGGGATAGTCGGTCTCGACGTGGTGCCCAACGCCCGTGAGGTGCTTATCGGCCTCTACAACAAAACCTTAACGGAGATCAAGGCCGTGCCCGAGGATGAAGGATACCGTAAAGCCGTTGAGAGCTTCACGCGCCATCGCTTAAAGGTCTGCCAGGAGGAAGAAGACTGGGAGACCATCGAGAAACGCTTAGGATGCGGCCAGGTCGAGGAGCTGATTGAAGAAGCCCAGGATGAGCTCAAGCTAATCGGTCACATGATAGGTCTGCAGCCATTTCAAACCTAATTGACATTAGTTTGTTTCCAATTTTTTTCAAAAGAAGTGCCCTTTTTTTTCTGTTGGTTTTCCCCCCCTAATTGCTTATATTGAGTGACAATTAATTGTGTTATTTTTTATAATTTTATCAAGGAAGGAGCGAAATGTGAGGCAAACAATCTAGCTATGAGCCTGGTTTGTGTCTGTATTATTGAATTTAAGGTCCTAGAATTGTGACGGGGAAAAATCCACAGAATTCAAATTGGTTTTTCATGAATTCGAATTCTTAGAAAACTAAAATTTCTCTTTATTGTTTATGGAAAACAAGAAATTTGATGATCCGCGTCAAACCATCCACATTTTGTTGGTTTTTGAGATAGGTGATCTAGAGTTACAAGCTCTGTCTACTTCTAACTGTGTTTTGTGAACTTCAGTACAAAGTAGTTTTCTAAGTCTTTATTTGGATCCCGGATTTCAAAGGAAAAGGAAAACAGGTGGCTATGTGAAATTTGATTCTGCTTGTCTTTCCCCTACCAAAATACTCGAAATTAAGTTCGAAAACAGTTGGCGTTAACAGTTTCCTGAAGAGCTGAAGAACAATAACATTTGACTTGTGAAAGTCATCCCTTGATTTATTTATTTATTTATTTATTATTATTATTATTTTTTTTTTTTTTGCACTCAGTGGTCTGCCCTTTGCTTTGAATCAAACACGAGGAACTATTTTCCCAGGATTTCCATCGTTCGTTGGATCCATTGACCATAAGGATCCTAAGAGTGCAGTTACAAATGTTTCTTACATCTACCTGTAGAAATTTACAAGTTTGAACGTACACTCCTCTGTTGAACAAGGTTGTAAAGGCCACAATGTAGTCTTGGTGAATGGACATTCATGCTTAATGCTGAATGCTAATTTCAACTAAATTAACGACTTTTTGAACCAGGAACATTGGATGTTGAACAAATCTTTTGATCATGCTTATGAATTATGATACAGTCCAGTCAAAATTATTTGGAGCCTGGGGCAATAGAGAAAAATGGTTTTAAGTGAACCTCTTTTTTCCCCCTTTAAATGAGATGACTATCTCCAATGTTTTTTATGGGTGCAAGAGTGAAATGTGAAGAAAATTAGACATCTACCTAAGCCCGTGTTTTCGTTTGTTCTCATAGAATTAGGGCTTTGCACCTCTACTTTGGACATAATCATACTCAAATTGGAATTGATTTTTCCAAAGCTGGAAATCTGAATTTCTTTCAAATGAAACACAATATTAGTTTTTAAGATTATCATTCACTAGAAGTGGGAAAGGTAGAACTTTCCTTCTCTTTTAGAAAGTTAGAGGTTTTAAAATATGCCTGCAATTGTGAGCATTTGCTGGGTTTAGTTACGTTATATATGTTTCCCATTTGTATTTTAAGTCCTGGAGTCCAACAGCTAATGGAAACTTGGCTTTGAATGAAAAGAATTTTGTTGAGAGCTGATACTATTTATCGGTGGAAGTAATAGCCCTTCAAACTTATTATGGATGCTAGTCGCCTAATTTCAGCTCAATTGGCCTGTATGAACAATCAAAAAAATTTGGGGTTTAATGTAGTCATGTCTTATGAGTTAAAATATATCTAGTTCTGGGTTTTGGCATGCTTCTTTATATGTTGGGAACTATCAAGCTCCCTCATTTACAATTTCTCTTGGAGGAAGATTGTATAGACAAGAATTTATTTATAGTTGCTTATTGCTCTCTATCATTTCATTTACTCTCGCTCTTCCTTTGGTGCTTTATTTCTCTTATAAGTTCTTGGGAATTGAATTATGTCAATGAGTTAGTGTTACATTCAAGCCATTTGGCTCTCCGACAGCATCCTTATCTAGGTTGATGCTGAAACAAAAACTTTTTGAATGAACTTTTGCTGGACCAGGTATTTTTCCTGTCCCAAACTCAAACAATTACATAATATGTTCCATGAAGTTTTGTAGTTATCGGAACTATACTTAATGAGTAAATTTAGCTCAGTTACCTTTTGTTAATCCAATTTTGCTTTTAATCTACTAATAAATGTTTGTCAGTAAACTTCACACTGTCCTATTGTTTGTTTATCCTCTTGTTAGGTTGGTGGATTAAGTCTTTGTTGTTTGTGTGCATCTCTCCTTCAACTCTTTGTAAAGAGACATTGAATTCTGCACAACCTTGAGAAGAAAGATGCCTAAAGTGGGTTAACCGCTGGAGAATGTTCTAAAATGTTATAAAATGAATTATGAACCGAAACCTGATGATTTTTTTGTTAGTCTTTATCTGTCTTAAGGCAATTTCAGAGACTCTGTTGAAGTTGTCTAGCATTTGTAATCTTTTAACTGCTGCGGCCAAATATTACTCACCAAGTTTTGATGGTGAATTTCTTTAAATTTGGTGCAGAGTGGAACCCATGGGGTGTTCCAGACGATTATGAATGTGAAGTTATTGAGAATGACGCTCCAGTGCCTAAGCATATCCCCCTGCATCGACCCGGTCCTCTTCCTGAGGAGTTCTATAAGACATTGGAGGCTGTTAATACTGGCACTTTAGAGGATGCTGTTTCAAAGAAGGACGAGCCTGCAATTACTGCCGGTGAATCACAATCAAAATAGTGCCCTTCTGTTCCCATTAGTTGTTGTGCTAATCGACCAACTCCAAGGTTTTCACTTAGAACTCTGAATCTGGGGTTTTGATGATATGTTTGGCGTCTCTTGTTTATGCTTTTCTAATACTTGTTTGATCGGCGTTTCTTTGGGATTAAGGGTACCAATGAGAGAGCTCAAGTTTTAGTTAATAATTTCTAGTGGACTTGGGTTTATGATGATTGATTTAGTTTATGTTTATCTTAGCATCCTAGTGAAAACAAACCATACATATATTGCAATAAAGTAATACCCTTTTTGTGTGACTAAGGTCTTTTTATTGGATGGATTGATTTATGCTCGATCTGGTATATTTTACACCGCTAAATCAATGTATCATATGTCATCAACTAGGTACTGAATACTGACTTGTATCTTTAATTCGTATAAAAAATATCCACAATCTTTCCGTCTTGTTCCTATGGAACCAAGATCGAAAAGATTGAGAAAATCAGTTATTCACAATACGGATTAAAGATTCCTCGAAAAGTAAAAGATTAATAATCTTTTTCAGGAATCAAATGGATTCGATTTTTATATATACCCGAGGAAGTTATTACTAATATGTTTGGTACTTTAGTTTTGAAAGTGCATCGTATGAATATTTTGTGAGATTCAACTATATATCTATGGAGTCTCTTGCTTAACTATTTTAAACATCTAATCACACATTAACAGTCTTGGAGTAATAGCTAACTAATTTAAAATTGAATAATGCTATTCATTATTTATTAGTGATCAGACTTTGGATTTGCTCTCCAATGATCATCAATTCAAGTCATCTCAAGGCCACTGAAGTAAGTACGAGGCTGTAAACTTCAGGATTTCGTGGAATTAGTCGAGGTACACGTAACCTCGCATGAATACCCACAATGATTTAAAAAAAATAAAAATCTTATGTGGTAGTAGAGCAAATGTTACATTGCTTAATAAATAAACATATATGCGATAATTTTATTGGATAATGTGAAAGATCACATAGATTAGTGAGAACAGTGACAATAAATCGGCATGCTTAGTTGAGTTACTCGTCAAAGTACTCGTTATGGTGGTTTGCTTCGGGAGTGGCAGGGAAAGGTAATTTTTAGGTTCTATCAATCTCTTGGGGTTGGTACTAACACTTTAGCGGAGGTATCAGCTTTTAAGATAGGCCTTCAAATATGTTATGCTCTTCGCATGGAAAGGATTGCTATATAAACGGATTTTAGCGTGTTGGTTCATTGGTTTCATCATCATGTCACTATACCTTGGGCTATTCGACTTATTTGGGAGGATATATTAGAGCTTGCTCAAGTTATATCTATTAATATATCACATATTTATCGCGAAGCAAATCAAGCGGCTGATTCTTTAGCGCGTATTGGATCTCAAGGTCATTCAAATTTTTTAGAATTGATCTCTAGTTTCCCAGTTTCTACAATTGGTTGCATTTGCTTATATAAATGTAATTTGCCCTCTTTTCGCTTTTCGTAATAGATTGTAACCACAATCTTCCTCCACCACAAGTGAAGGTTTACCAATAAAACTAATACATTTTGCAGAAAAAATAAAATAAAATTGGTGAATAAGTTCATAATGGATCTCGAAAATAAAATGATGCACAGACTAATATTTTAGCGTATTCAAGTTTAATCTTATAATTTGTCAATCGATTTCAAATTGAGTTTCAAATTTTGAATTTTTTTATAGATGTGTTAGTAGGGAATAAATTAAAAAAATCGGACTTCTTTTAGTTTATATAATTTTAAGTAATCTTTAATTAGACAGATAAAATAAGTGTTAGAAAATAAATTTCATGATTTGTTAAATTTTAAAATAAATTGAAGAACTTGGTCGTAAGATCCGCTAAATGGATTATATCGCATTTCAATTCAAACCAAATTAATCACACAAGGATAGCAATATTACTCCTGAAGCATGATTAATTGGTGATCGCAAAACAAGGTACCAAACTGCTACAAGAACCCAAAAGCAAATTCACTCAAAAGTAGGTTGAAAATTGAGTTGGTCGGTTCATACATTTCAATACTCAAAATCATCCATTATAATTTGAATATTTCGTAAATGAAACCGTTCGGGTCACACGTTTAATAAATATTTCGACATAGGTCCTTTTGATACATATACTTAACACGTTACTACTTGACAAAGAGAGAATAAAAAATTTTCAAGAAGCTAAGAAATCCAATTACATAAAATAAAACAGAGAAAGACTAAAAAGGAAGAAAATTAAAATATTTGTGCAATTCGATTTCTTAGAGTTTAGACAAATTATGGGTCCAATATTATTAACTAGGTTGGGAGGATTTTTATTTGTACCCAGCAATCCGACCCAGATTCGTGATCGATTTAGTGTTTAAGAGTTTTGCTAAAACAATAGGGAGGCTGACCGAAACCCCAACAATGGGATTGTTAGCTCAATAATGATGTATGTTCATGCTCAAAGACAGGAAACAAAAAGACAGACTGACTTGGCAGCTGCTGGTTGGTGTTTGATTTTTTCATTTTTCAAACTATCCAACCATGTTTCGACACATGTCCTCTCTGTTTTTGAATTTGTTTTTAGGCCTGTTTGTGTAGCATATCCCGTCCCATGAATAACAAACACGGACTTCTCGAGATTCTCCTAAAGAATGTTCCAAAAGACCTATTCAAAGTCTAGCTAATTTTCCAAAAATTTACGGATTATTCAACTGAAACACAAATTACTATAATTAACACTTTAACATCCTCTCGTAAACTGAAGATGCACATGAATTTAATTTAACTCCAAGCAGGTTGAGAATCTTCAAGAAAGCCTCCAGCTTCAATGTTTTTGGGCAATATGTTAGCTATCTGCTCCTGACTTTGACGTTGGACCAGTTCCACCACACCATCTTTAGTAAGATCACGTAGAAAGTGAAATCTGATGTCTATATTTTCAATAATTCTACTCGTACAAAGTTCTCTTACAAAGTTGGTTGACAAAAGATATGTTGACAAAATCCAGGTCATTGATTTCAAATGATTTAAAAACCGGCTTCTGAAATGATTTGTGTGGATATTATTTTGTCAACCTACTTTGTAAACCATGTTTGTAAGTGTAACACAACTCCTATATTTTTGCTCCTTTCATGTGACACGGGATTTTTCGATAATTTAATAGTTGAACTGTTGTCACAAAATATCTTGGTAGCCTCCCTTTGTGTGCAGCATAATACTTCAAGTTTTCTTCTTGTCCAAAAGCTTGATGAGTACGAGAAGTTGCAGCTATGAACTTAGCTTCAATTGTCGACTATATGATTATGAGTTGCTTTTTCAATGACCAAGTAACAGCAGTACAACTCGGTATAAAATGCATATTTAGATGTACTCTTTCGGTCCTCCAAATTTCCTTCAGAATCACTGTCGCTAAGCCTTTGTTTGACAATCATCAAAATAATATATATATATTTTTTAAAATTTATTTTCAATCATATATACTTAAACCTAAAAGTTTTGACATTTTTTAACCACAAATTCTCCAAAAAAAAATTACTATTTTAGAACTCTGTTCCTCTAAAAATAACTCGTAGACTTAGAAGAAGTTGAACCTGCATCAGCTCAACACTTGATGTTACTCTGCGATAAGAGTGGGACAATGACAAATGTAAAGCAGCATAGAAGTCATCAAAGGAAAGGCATATAAAGCGGAATTATAATCTCTTTAAAGAGATAGTCCCTGTGAAATGTTTGCAGTTGAGACGTTGTTCCATTTACCAAGATCTTACTAGCTAAGGGTTTTGAAGATCATGTGGAAAGCATGAGAATCGAGTTGTGAAAATCGGACAGGATCGAAAAAATTGGGAATTAGATCAAAATTCGGTCCGGTCATAGTGATAAAATTGATTAGGAACAAATTAGTGTAAAAATCGATAACCTACCAATTTTATCCTAAAATCGTAAACCGATTATTATTTTTACTAGTTTGTCAAGTCATTTTTTTGGGAAAAAAATTGAGAGTAACATGATGATTGCAACCCCTACTTTTTTCGATCGAACAAAACTACAGTAGCTCCGCTAAATAAAAAATTTAATTACGATGAAAGAAAAAAGTTCACTTATATCGATGCTCATACTTTGGATGATGCAATTGTGCACGAGTGAATAAATTTTGATGTGTGAGGGTTCGAGATTTGAGAGTAAAGGCGCTAGCAAGAATTTTAACAGCCACGAGCCACCAAAATTTTGATATGACACCGTGAGGAAGATGCTCAAACACTAGGGTTTGCATTCATGGGCCATGTATCTATAACAAGTTATGCAGTTATTGGGCCTTTTGGCCAACTTAGTTTACACTTTAATATTATTTATCGTTTTTTCCTTTTTGTAAATTTATTTATTTTGAAATTTTTAAAACTAATCGGGTCAATCTCAGTTACACCCCAATTCGACCCGTTGACCTTCTCCCTTTTTCAGGCCAAAATTCGAATCAATTTTTAAAATATTGACGAAAATGCATGACAAGTCACACAATTTAAGATACTATATTGAATGGGTATTATTTGTCTTGATCATGAGAAAGTTCTACGAAAGTATTGATACAAGAACATCGAGCATACCTTAGAGAGTATCAGACATGACCAAATGTACAGATTAATTTATATAGCATGATTGTGTGTAAGAATTAATTTATTTGTGAGCAAAAAATAATTTGCACTTGACTAGCCTAGGAATACCTTAATCCATTATGGGATAGTGATTTCTATTCGTGAACTCGATACTCTTTATTGTGCCCATAAGCAAGATCAAATTAAAGAATCAAATGCATCGATACATTTGGAACTGACATGAATTGAAGTAGTAAGCATGTATGTGCATTTGAAAAATCGTCACCTTGTTCAAGAGGTTAATGAGTCCACTTGAGTTTTTCTTTAGTAAACAATTTAAATTTGAGCTTAGTATTTCGAGGAAATCGAATCTAATATCATGATTGTAACACAAAGAAATTGCTTAACAAAAGCTTGCTTTGATGAGATAATAATTAGAAGGGTGAAACTATCATTTTAATTTGGACTAATTATTCGAGTCCGATGGGGTGAGACACAAAGATGACAAGTCAAGAGAATGTAATTGTAGGAAATTGAAATATATTGCTTATGCGATTTTATAATTTAAGAGTTTAGTTTCTTGCCTTTGAACGGACTTGCATTACAATTAACTGCCCTGAGTCTCTAACCAATTTTCATATAGAGGGAGGGAGAGATAATTTTTCTTGTTTCCCTTTTATTTTTTTTATTTTTTACTT